TACAAGTACAGTAGTACCTGGCAAAAATACAAGAGTCTATACTAAGACAGACCTCATTCACTGTCTCACAAAAATTAACATGTACAAGCCCATCGAGAAAAATTATGCCATTTGAGGTACTGAACATTTTTACTGACACCAGTCTAACCTACAAATCGAGGTGTATTTAGCTTAATCAGTAAGAACAGCTTATGGCCCAGATACTTTACTCAAGCAAATAAAGATTCCTCCAACAGAGTACATCAGTTCAGTGGGACTGCAGAATAAATTGCTGCTAAAGCAGTAAACCACTTGTAAAACCAACTCAAGTGGACCCCAATCCAAGTAAAAGATTTTTGTATTTCATGATATTGTAAGTTATTAATTTCAGAAGCTGTATATGCACAAGTGCATCTCTAAAAGTGTATGGGGAGGAGGGGAGATGGAGGTTTACAGCCTCAAAAGTAAAACTTTATGCTGTTTTTTGCATGGGATCACTCACATTCCTATAAAAGCACTGTAGCTGCATCAAAGAGATCTTAACGCTTTTGTCAAGCATAGTGGATTTTGTTTTCTTTGTAAAAAACATAAAATAAACTCTTGGTATGTAATGATACCAATAGGAGATGACATTTCATGCAACAACTTTTGAGAAGTACTGTATCTTTAGGTGAGCAAGGTTTCAAATGTTCCTCTCTTTAAAACATTTGTATCTCAAAGACCAAGTTTTGTGCCTATAGAGATACACACACAGAGGCATCCCCGCTTCCCCTGGAAACGTTCCTCTCTATGGGCTGTTTTGTATGCCTTTTATTTTATCTACTGACACACCAGGAGGCAAATTAATAGCTCTGGATCTTCCCTCCCAGCAGAAAAAGACTCCATTGCTGCAAAGTTTAGAGTCAGTCACACACATCATTTGAAAAACAACTATTTTTTACCGGAACAAATCAAACTAACCATCTTGAGCTATATACAAATGTAGTACTACAGAACTCTTAGGGTGTTAAAAAAAAAAAGGCATTTTTAAAATTGCCATCTTCTCCTCCACCCCTGCTACAAAGTATAACCTAGAATGCAACCCTCTGGCCCTTACTGTTCTGTGTAGGTGCGCAGGACAAGGAATAGGTGTTTTTCATAATGTATATTCTTGCAAGTTAACCCAGTTATTGCTGAAGAATTCTGTAATTCCTACTTTACGATCTATAAGATCAAGAGAAGGAAGCAACTGATTGAAATGGAAGGGAAGCTGGGTTAAGCGTTCTTCAAAAGTAACAATACCATAGTGTGCATTCTGACCTCTGAAGTTCTGTGTTTTTAAGATAAACTATGGACACTATTTCTTACGAAGTTTCTGAAGAAAAAAAAAAAGAGGAAGCAGGCTACCAATGAAGGATACCAAAAAAGGAACAAAAAAAAAAAAAAATCAGCAAATAAACAAGAACTTCAAAAAGGGAAACAGATACTTCTACATTGAGGGTAGAATGCACAAGGAAGAATATACAGAGACTCCCAAAATCTACACTGAGTCTTAAAATGACAAATCTGAGAATCCGACATTGTACTAAAATGCAAGATTACCACATCCATGATGCAGCAACACAGGAACCAAATGCAAAGACTACTTTTTGTCTACCCAAAGACTTAAGAGAATCATACAAGATTTTCTCCTACTTCTATTAATTTGTAATATGAAAGAATTTTAAGGATTCACAGCGTTTATCTAAAGTCCAAGTCACTTCATGGAAAAAAGAAGATATTGTCCTAAAGGCATCACACTTCTAATCAACATCATTAAATTAATTAAAACCTGTCTGTTTAGTATTTTACTTTCACCTGCCCCCAAGAACCCAATTTTGACAATTACAGGACAAAATACTAAAGTCTGAGACTTAAATGTAGCCTCCAACAGAAAAAATCTAGATGAAATTTCAAAGAGAGCACACTATACAAGAAAACCCAGGTCTCATCGTTTTAGAAGATTAATTCTGTCAGTCTTACCTTGAAATAACACTAAGCACTTAAGACTCAGAAAATACAAACAGAAGTTCCGTAAATGAATAGATGTAGGCAAAAGCACAGTAACACACAAAAAAGTATTATCAGTGTTCTAGGCTTGCTACACAAAGCCATCCAATATCCCAAGACTCTGGATAAGGCCTATTACCTACCCTTGGGTTCCCA